CATGTTGTAGGGGATATCGTACCTTCAGTCGCCTACTCAACTCAGCAATCTTTTATGTTAAACCGCCAAATAGTTCTTAAGATTTCCCGTTTAGTTAACTGCATCATCTTATTGTGACCAGTAAGTCGTAATAAACCAAAGTTTTGTAGGGGTGTATACATTAATAAAGGACAAAAAAGAAAGGTGGCTATTAGCCCGACCCAGGAGACATTATGCTGAAGGATGACGCAACTGGCGGCGATTGAAGAGCATGGTTAATCAAATAACTACCAAAACATTATAGTAAGGATATATCAATTCCCCTCCTTATGAAACAGGTAGGTATGGGTCAGTCCATCGGTACGCTTGTTTCAACTGGACCTAATGGACCTGGAGTATGTTATCCGAACTTATCAGCTTTGCTAATCCAGGCTACTTCCATGTCAGAGCTGTGGAATGTTTGCCAAGCATCCACTGAATTCGCGGTAGCGGAACACTATCAATTTGAGATTAAGGAGCAAAAAAGAGGGTTTGAAAATACTGGATAAGAAAAGAGACGAGACAACGTTCCAGACTGTTAACTAACCGTCTGACTTGTGATGCGGTTGGAAGTGTTTGAGAACGTTAGAAATGCGCGCTTATTTAAAGTTTCTGGAAGTTAAAATTGTCTGCCAACGTCTGAACCATCTGGATAGTCGAGTTCTTTCTTAGCCCTGCCTGACGGTTCATATTTAGCGGAGGTAGACTCCAACAACTGATAACTGCTTGAAGGGCAGTTACTATAAATATCGGTAACTAAAAGGGAACTTTGAGGAACCTCAGAGACGAACTCGTTCTCCGGCAGTCCACCATATGTCTACCAGGCTCGCATGCACTAACCACACCTCTGCGAACCCATTACGTCGGTTAATAAAGACACGCGCTCTCCGGCCTGTCTACCACTTACATTTGGTTTGAGGACTCGAGAGGTCCCATACAAGTCATCAAATTAGCAACTCAGGCCATCACAGCTGTTGACGCACCGATAGTTAGTGGCGAAGCGGATTATATCAGACGGGGAATGACACCTGCAGAGAACTCCGTTAGGGGGAATTCCCCTCGAACTGACCCATCCACTTCTGAGTCAGACGCCAAACCACTCCCTTAAGGCTAGACCTGTTTCCTTCGCTGCTAGAGGCAAATGCTGGGTGAGGGTGAGTTTCTTATCAGGCTTGTCAATTTTTAGTCTTCAATAAATTTCAGTCGCAACAGATAACTCCGTAAAATCCGGTGATGAAGGTATTACTCTCTCTTCCGCTTGGCCGAGACTGCACCTAAAGCATACTAATAAGTGCCCCAAGCCCAGGATCAAAGCATTACTGCAGACCCGTATGGCTAGCCCGACCGAGTGTGGGAGCCGCAGCCTAAGTCACAGACCGAGACTCAAGCGCAGTCTCAAACTCCGTTCTCAGCAGTCACCACAAGTCAGGAACTAGACGCTACCCACATGTCGCACCGCTGAGTTGTCTCACTCGCATTACTGAATCAAGAGGTCTGTCCCAAGGTTTCGGCTGCGAACAATCCAGTCGATGGTCTCGACCACTCGCGTATACAAGTCCACTTTGCAACAGCCAACTCAGTAATACAAAGCTACCTATTTATTCACAAAAAAAATATTTACCTTTACTTCGCATCACTTTTGCCCACTTATCTAGTGGATCACACAATCACCATAGCGAGTCCCCATTCATCCACAAAATAAGCACCACCCATGCACTAATCTAGGTGAAAACGCATTCCCGTCATTCATCCCCATGCAGTTTAGCTAGTGCACTCGCTGAAAGTCTCCATGATATGATGCGTTACTGGACGAATGTCTTCATGAGTCCACACACTAACCCTTTCCCACCTAATGATTAATCTACTCCGCCCATGCTCGCCGACTTCCATTCATAAGAATCAGTTGATCCTTTCCACACAAGGTGAGCACCAAAATCAAAATCCAGATTTATACCACCCGATCGGACCAGTCTCACTGAAATGAAATAGCACACGAACAGTCAACCTGCCATGTTAAGTTTAGCAATCATCACAATAAATAGGATGTAATACCTCATGTAGTAAAAATTTGGCAAAAACGAATCCCGTGTTTTTTACTAAAACTAACCGTTCCCAATACCCATTCAACTAGAAAACACGAATTACGCATAAGTGGCAATGATTTTAAAATGATAACTATTAGGACTATTCAATCTTCTGGTAGGCATTTGCGTGCAAAATTCTCAAAAAATTGCTTTTTGAACTCAAAATGACCTGAAACGACAGGCAAATAATTGCTGCTTCTGAAATATGTGTAGGAATAATGATTAGCGCGTGCAAATCACAAGTTATGAAAAGGGATAACAAAAGACTGAAAAAATATGAGACCACATTTTCGTATTTCATAAAAATAAAGAGAAGTACACAACTTTGTGGCAAAAACGAAAGAATCAGAATAACAAAATACGGAGATGAAGTGTGAATGGACAATACAAAAGACGAGTCAAACGTCGTTCGCCAATAAAGCCACGACATCAACACCAAGCTCAAAATCATCCTGCTTTCTGGACATTCACATGAAGGTGAGTAGATGAACACAAAGAAAAACAGCACACTTAATCACATGCTGCATGCAGCGAAAATTCAATTTATTATGATCTAACAGGGCAGCATGGTAAAAAGTAAAGGGAGAAAAACAGCAATTAGATTTCCTCAGTTATGCAAGCCAAGGAAACAAGGAGGTTGAAACTAACTTGTTTTGCTGATTTGCTAAAATGTGTTGACGATGAAGATTACAGGCGTCCAACGTCTTCAGGAGAGTATTTAGATTAGATTCGACCTTTGGGAAGGCGGAAATCGCACTGGAGGAAACATTTGCATCCAAAAAAGCTCAAGCTTACCTCAAGGAATTCTCCAGATCAAAGTTAACACCCTGCAACTTTTCCGCACAGACAAACGCTTTTTTCTACAAATGTTAGCAAATATGCAAACTTTACTCTCTCTTCGGCTATTTCAGGTGCGGTTTTTCGAATATGCTCCTGGATCCGGAACAGAGCAACTGACGGTTCGTTAACGAGGCTAACGACAGCATCAACACTGGTATTGTAGACTAGTAAATTAGCATGAAACAAAGAAAGATGACAGAATACTTTTCGCGCACATCTTTTTGTGAAAGGTATCAGCATCCTCACCTGACATCTAGGTAAATTTGTTGCCCAAGAAGAATAATAAGTAAAAAGGATATGGATAAACTAACAGTGAAATGTCAATTGCAGGGTTGATGCTATGCAATTTTAATTTTTAGCTATAATCAAAAAACACCAAAAGGAGAAAATGAGACCCGCAAAATATACGCACAAATCCAATGAAAGCAAGGCAAACAATTTACGCACAGCCACCCAGGAACGCGCCTCTCTACGTGATCAGGTTCAACAAGTTTATTTCATAAAACAAAAGAATTAAAGTAAAGCTAATTATTTTATAATAAGACTATTGCCGATTTTGGTCTAAAACGATTCTGTGAATTCAAATAAAAACAAAGGTTCAGTATTTAATCAAACACAGGAAGTTGGACTTGTAATTTGTTTGAGCTATTTGTATATTCAATTCTAAAAAACCAAAGTTTAAACTACCTTTTAAAGTCTTACTACATTTTTAATTGCACCCCTAAAGTTCACTCCCAAAAAGCTTTGAATTTTTAGATTTTTATACGTTTACGTAAAGTACTCTTGCCATTGTACGAACTTTCTTAAATTGAATAGGCGGATTCAAAAACCGCAATTAAGGCCTGTTACAATACACATAATGCGATAATTGTTTATCTCCCAGTTTTGGTGAGGAAACACTTGACTTGGCCACTGTACCACGCCGGGTGGGCTGGCCTTCGAGCCATGCCAGTAGTCCAAATACCTTCTCTGTGCCGAATATATCTTCTGCCCGAGTGTTATTCTCTCATTCGTCTTCAGGGAAGTCTTGGGACACCACAATACGTGCTGGCCAAGGTAAAATGTATGCTACTCTAGCACTCAAGATGTAGCCGAAGGCAAAAAAAGACAATTCTTTAGCGTAATGGGTACTACAGACGAACAGAAGTGCCTGGGGTCTACTGATGTGGTCTGAGGGCCAGACCACCCAAGGGATTTACAATGGTGGAGTGCTAAGTGGTCCACCATCAGGTACTTGAAGGCAGTTTCACTAATCCCCTTACGCAATTCTTCCGTTTCTGGAGTTTTGTCCCATTTGAAAGCTGCACTGGAGGACGACTAACCGCCACGTATGCCCATCGCTTATCCTACAAACATTAGTCTAAAGGTAAAGTCAAGTAGTCAAGGGCGGTGTTTGACATAGCTCCGTGCGGGAAGGATTTAGCGTCTATTCTTCCTTGCCACTTTTCACTCATTTCAGCGCTGCTCAGGCATTTCTGTCTCGGCTGGGTCCAGTTAGTATAGAAGTGAAGGGAGTATCGTCTGCCAGTTCCCATTTTCACACAGATATTTTAGACAGTTTGGTCCGTAACTTTTCCTTGTAGTTCACAGCTAATATCGCTTCAGTTCGTTAAGAACGATTTGCAAAATAGGAAACGTCATTTTCTGTTAGGCGTTGTCACAGATCCGCCCAACCACAGCGCATGTACCTCTTTCACCACGTCAAGGTTTATCACTGAGCAGTTGAAATCGGGATGAATGCCCCTTACGATCGCTGCCACGGGTGTAAGGCTCCAAGCCTCCCCTGAGGATGAAAGAGATAGTACTCCGGCAGTGTGTATTGTTGACCTGAAGAAGGGCATGGCTGCTACTGCCCTGGCTCGAATGCCAGGCCACCCGACGGAGGGCGGAGCCCTTAATGACCCGTCACCAAACTCGTCACCGTTATACGCAACCCTAACTTGTGCTGGAAAAGCAGAACTCTTTACCTTATTAAAGTAGGAAATTTAATAGAAGTAGTAAAAGGCGGCTACGATTGAATGTGACGGAATTTAATTCTCCGAAAACTGCGTAAATAAGGACCGCAAACGCATCATTTCCGTATTACTGTGCTGGGAAGGCGATGGGGAAGACCTCTGAGTAGTGGCGCACAAAGTGCACCCCGAGGTCAGTCTTAATGAAGTCGGCTAGGTCTTCGTAGTCCTTCCTATTCATCTCCGGCAGAATCACCGTTTTCACGCCAACTCTCTTAGCCTGCAAAAAAGTGGACGAAAGAAAGATATGTAGATCCACCTCCGCAAGTTGTTTAGCTCGGCTAAATAAGTCCTGGCCCTTTACGATGAAAGGGGTTTTATGGGGGAGGGAAGGGTGCTGATAAAGGCGTATCAGATGAATCCTTCACGGAATAGAACCTACCGCAATGACCTTCTCTTTGATTCCACCGACTGGAAGAACTTTTCCAGTGAGACTGATTTCACCAGTCATAGCCAAATCAGGACGCACAGGAAGGTTGCAGGCCAGACTAAGGAGAGCTGTAACCATAGTGATACCGGCTGAAGGACCGTCCTACACAGTGAAATAAACATTTGAGGACAGGAAGATAAAGATCAGCATGTCTTATACTTACTTCAAATGCAGTGCATTGGGAACTGAGAAATTGAAAAAAAAGAGAAGTATGAGTTAGACAATGAGAGTATCACCCAAGGACGACCAGTGAAATGTCAACAAGCTCAAATCATGAGGTAATGACCCAGTCTTTATACGAAATAATTACCGAAGTATGAATATGCAATCACCTTCGGAAAGATCCAAGAGCTAAAAAACACCGTGAATGATGGTATGGAGAAATCTCCCCCTGATAGGTAATTTTAATCCAATTTTGATCAAACAAGTAGGCCACGAGAAGGATAATGGATAGACCAAAGCTAGATCAGGACCCAGACAAGGACTTTGTGAACGAATCTTGGCGATGGTGAGTTGAAGGAGGCAACTGATACATTTATTCATTCGTTTCAAACTGACTAATCACTACCAACAAAAACTCGGACAATTTTAATCGGATTTCTGGCAGCAGAAAAATATAAGGGGCCAAAACAAACCTTGGGAGTCGCTCCTTGAGGTACGTGTAGATGGATTTTTGCATCTCGAAGAAATCTATGTGCATGAGATGTTGTGGTTGTAGAATTCTCCAGTCGTTGACGAATTACTTCGTCAGAAACTACAAAATTACTGGCAAAGGTATGCGCGATTGCAACCGACTCCTTCATTACATCACCGAGGTGACCGGTCAGTTGAAGACTTCCTACCAAATGAGGAATGTAACTACTTAAATAGTATAAGCGTCCTCAGCTCTACCACAAAAGACGAAATTTAAAGATGTTGACAGTACCAATACAGAGTAAGGAGAAGACGCTGACATAAAAATACTGACTACTCAGGCACAAAACTCTGCATATATACCTTTTATGCTGTCATTTGCGGCGTCACCACTGCTCGAACTATTCGACAGTGGTTCCTTGTTGGTGCATTCAATGAACAGGACAGATCCACCCATAGCCGTCCACGCAAGACCCATAACAACTCCAGGCGGTGTTACAGGAGGATAAAGCCGATCTGTTATCCAAATAGGCTGGCCCACAAAAGAGGAAAGATTGTCATCGTCCACTTTCAGCGGCGTCTCTGCATCACCGTTGACGATTTTGTAGGCAGCTTTGCGAAGCACCTGAAAGAGGGGAAGGTATGCTGCAATTTCAGGAAAGTCTTTTTCGTCAGAGACTCTTATTTTTTTGGCTTAACTCCCTGCCCTTCTCGATGTGGAGAAGTAACCACTGGGCGCGCAGAGGATGATGTACTGAGTTAAACAATGTTATTTGGGTTTACTTTCTACACCACCGCAAGTCTGATTTCTTGAGTGACAAGAGGCTCCACAACCAATCTCCCAACCCATCCGTAAGCTAGTGACGAACCGCTGTAAAGGCAGTAGTGTCGTTGTACGCAGGTAGCAGAAACTACACAGGCTTTATCGGAGGTTGATAATATTTTATCCAACTAGAAATAAATGCCCAGGCCATTTTGTTTCAAATATCTAGAACAGGTAAACATACCTTTTCAATATGTTTTTGCAGATTTCGCACACCAGATTCTCGACAATACTGCCTAATTAGACGTTGCAATGCTCCGTCTGTTATTTTCACTTGTTCTGTCGACAGTCCCGACGACTTAGCGGCTTGTGGAAGTAGGTATTGCTAAGATGGAAAAGGAGAGAAAATTTGTGGCACCGACTGCCCTGTCAATAAACAATTTAATTCATATTGTAGAGAATACCTGAGCTATGGCCATCTTCTCCTCAGCTACGTAGCCGGCCACCTCAATAAGCTCCATTCGATCTCTCAGGGGTTCCGGGATCGCTTCCACCTGATTGGCTGTTGTGATGAAGAGAACACGACTCAAATCAACTGTGACGTCTAGGTAGTGGTCGAGGAAATTGGCATTTTGTTCGGGATCTAGGAGTTCCAGAAGCGCGGAGGCGGGGTCACCTTGCCAACCGCGGCCGAGTTTATCGATCTGAGAGGTGGAAGAAATGGGATGAAAGATGCTGGCGAAGTAGACATGAATAGGCGGGACAATGGGTTGAACTGGGTACTACTGAAAGCGTTAGCGAGTAGACTTGGTCACTTCGTTTGAAGTTTATCAAGCAAAAAATGAAAAATGAAATTGCGGAGAAGCTGTAAAGTAAGGCGTGCAGCCCCTACTTTTACGGACAACGTTCCTCACCCCTTGTAAAAGCGTGATTTACAAACAGAACTTCACTTTTGTGGCTAAAAGACAACACAACGTCAGGTATAGGAATGGAGATGCTCAGTTCTCGAATTTACGTGAAGTAATTTCAACTGATTCCTATTGAAAGGAAGGGTGATAATGCTACTTGATAGGGAAAGAAAGTTAAAAAGCACACTAACAAGTCAGCCAACTAGCTGGCAAAAGTAATGACTACCCAAGCTGACAGCACTTAAATAGGGAGAAATAACAAGTTTATTAACCCAGCATTGTGAAACGGAACTCACTTCATCAATCAAAATGAGTGGATTCTCGGTTCGTGTTTTTTTCAAACACTGGATGATCTTGCCAGGCATTGCACCCACATAGGTTCGTCGATGACCCTTGATTTCCGAGACATCGGACATACCGCCAACGGAGAAGCGAAAATACTTGAAAAAAAAGAAGTCGGAGAATGCAGATTTAGCAAGGACGCTACTAGATATGTGACAAGATGTTACAAGGGGATTTCAAATCAAATGCAAACGGCTTGAAATCAACGCAAAGATTATGGTAGTCCATTTGGACTAGATGAATAAACTTACAAACGGGAAGGATAAATCAAAACAATAGCGTCTAGGCAGATAGGTGGATCTGGAGGAGACCAATGAGGATTGAATTGAAAGACTCAAGCCAAATTTTACTTCAAATAAAGATAATAGAGTAGTGCTAGGATTTACCTTCCTATTAAGAGCCCTAGCTATGGATCTGGCGATACTGGTTTTGCCTGTTCCTGGAGGACCATGGAAACAGATGATCTTGCCTTGAGTGGTTCCCTTCAGTTGGCTCACAGCAATGAACTCCTGCAACAAGAAGAAGATTTAGAGTCACCTACTATGAACGATCCAGTAGAGCTGAAGAATTGCTATCATCACACTCAAAAGGCTAAATTATATTTATCTTTTGGAAAAATGTTTGAGTCAATCATAATTAACCCTCGCCGATCCATTTTCGACAGAGAAAAAACACATCCGTTTGAATACTAAAATAGAAGGAAACACTGATCGAAGTATTTGCAAAAATGAGTATGTACACAAAAATCATGAACCTAACAATTTGAACTTCAGCCCCATGAGCACTTCGACAACCGAAATTTGCACACAAAGTAACACGCGTGCCACCACAACCTCCGAGGGGAATCGACCATCACAAGACAGTAATCGCCATTAAACACTTTTATCTTATCCAGCCTCTGCCTTGAGACAGTGAAGAAAAACACACGATTAATTCCAAACCATGAAGACCATGCGTGATATTTTGTCGTATATCCAACTAACGCCCGTGCGAGAAAGGATAATGTGCAAGCACAGTTGCCATAAATTGAGGGAGACCATCTGTCACAAATACGTGACAGTAAGGGAAACGCGTTTACTTACGCAATTTGAAAAGTAGAGCAATTGCTAAATGTCCGGTAAAAAGCGAGAAAACAGGGAAGTAAAAAACAAACTGGTGTATTATAAAAAATGAGAGTTACGTCCATCCTGGCGTGACTTATGTGGGTACTAGTATCGTAAATCGAAAATGGGCAAGTTTCCGGAGTTACCCATCCACAAAAACCAAGACTTTCAACAGCTAATACATGAAGTGCCCTAAAGATAAAAGTCGAGCAAAATGTCCAAATTATTAACCAAAACTATGCGAGGTTGTGAACTCACAAGAATGCGTTTCTTGACATCATCCAATCCATAGTGATCCTCATCCAAGACAACGCGTGCACGAGCCAAGTCAAGATTTTCCTCGCTTGTTAGACCCCAGGGCAAACTTGTCAGCCAGTCTAGGTAATTTCGTGTAACGCTGCGAGGAATAAAGCAAGTAGACATGAGATGCTCAAACTCCTGAAGTGAGCATTCTGAATGATTTGAATATTACTTGAACTCCGAGGAGTGATTATCCAAAACGCCCAGTTTGTTCAGTTCTTCCTCAATAACTTCACCCACCGCCTGCGGAACAGTTAGATCCTACAAAAGAGATATATACCCCTAACGTTCAAAAAAGAGTAAACAGGTTTTGCAATCTATGTATTATTTCACTTACTGCGAGACGAGCCCTAAACTTCTCTGCAATGGCCTCTTTGTCGTCCTTTTCCAGACCCAGTTCTCGTTTAATCACTTTCAACTGTTCGTTCAACATGTACTTCCGGTGCTGGGCTTTCACCTTCTCTTCCACCTCCTGTCCAATCTGCTGCTGGAGACGACCCAGCTCAAGCTCCTTTTTGACCAGGCTGAGAGCTAACCGAAGGCGCTCTGGTATCCGAGTCTCCTCTAGCACAGCTTGTAGCTCGGCTGGCTCTGCAGCTGCCGTTATTGCTGCGCCTGGAACGGAATAACACTTGGTCACTATACGTAGGACATACTCTTAATAGGCGACTGTAACTATTTGAATTGGTGTATGTTCATACTACTTATAGTGAGACTGAATAAATGTAAAGGTACTATTTTAATGTGAGGTAAAAATTATGGGGGTAACTGAAAATACATTAAGTATCCAGCTCAGCGGACAACTATTTCCAGCGCCTGCAGTGCCAAGAGTTGTTAAAACAATGTCAGGTGCTCATTATAGCAGATAAATACTAAGATCTTTGGAATAGGTGATAGAAGTCATCCACGCGTCCAGAATTCCAAGACTTTTTAAGCTAGCAAGATCACCAAAGCGCTACTAAAAAGCCCCGACCCGGTAGACAACCTATCTTAACACCTACAATTGGCCTACCATGAACTCTAAAAAGATCGGCAATTATACTACTTATCATGCATTTTGGTAAAGCCAACTTGAGAAGGCAGATTAACGTCAAAAATATACTGTAGTCAACATATGCTGTGCTGGCTCTAACCTTTCCATGGGTATGAGAAAAAAACAAATTTTATGTCTACACATCTTATGACCTCGTCAGAAGCCAACACAAGGGATGCGTTAGTGGTAGTAGAAAGTGAACACACGCCAAGAGCGCAACGATTCCAATCTCATCGGTTGGATACCACGTCAAAAGGTCATGCAAGGAGTGCATCTACTGTACATCTCCCGAATACCCACGTTTCAAGTCCTGCCAAATGAACAGTGATGGGGAATACTGCACTGATTTGAAGGAGTCCGAACCATGAAGTTGTGGTGATGATGCATCTACACCTTGTGAGAAGTCAAATGTACAATATTCTAGTCGACAGTTGAAGAGCGGAAAAATGACTGAGGTACGAAATGTGTTTCCGTGGGTAGGTAATAGTTAGTGAACATTTTTCGCTGCAATCCGCCACCAGAACATAAGAAGTCTATGATATATGTGCGGCTAGAACGTCGAGGTCGGAAATCCTTCCGTAGTGGTAGAAAATCATCGTGGAATCACCGCTTTTGCCCCTACAACGATTGTGTCCGAAGTAGAAGGATAATCACGAGGAGCGCCTAGGCCACGTTAAAAAATGGAGCAACAAACGTAGCATGCATCCTCTATGCTACTACCTAATTCCGATTTCAGCAGGAGACCTACCAAAATCGCATAAGCTGAGCCAGCTGCCAAAACAAACACTCTGGATTTAAGCAAATCCTAAGAAAATGAGCAAATTCGGCGATTGTAGGATAAATGAAAGCCACTTAACGCTCCTATTTTGTTATGTGGCATGATAAAGCAGTTAAAAAAAATAAAGCGCTCTTCAAACACTAATCAATTTAGAAAAGTTAAGTCACTACCTAATATGGACAGCAAAAAGGGACACATCAAGAGCGCCCAGGTAGATAACGGAGGGGCAATACTTGTTTCCTACTCAGGTGCATGTAAAGACAACAAAACACCGAAGTCCGATAGCGTCGCGGCAGTGCAAGCACTCGGTCCTGCGGACGAAAAGTAAATATCTCTACAGCCGCCTAAGGGCTAATGCAACAGACAACCTTACGCGATAACCAAGACAAGTGACAGAATTGTGCCTCTTTTTTCAGATTTAAGCAGCAGTTAGGAATTCGAAATAGTCGCGAATGTTGGGGAACACGAACAAATAGCCTCCAAGCTGCTACTTAATTCGGACCTCAGTAGAGTACCCACCAAGATCACTGAGGTAGACGGGGTTATCCACCACACGTTGACCGACTTGAAGCATTGCCAATACATTTTCTCTAAGAGAAGAAGACATAAAAAGGCATTAAACAGGAGCAAAAAATTTAGTTACAAACACCAAAATAGTTATTCACCGGTAGATTGGGTTAAGGTTGATAATATCCCGAATAGTTTTAACAATCTCTGCACTCAACGCCTTGATCTCCTGAGTATTTTCATAAGGCTCGTTGTAGACGTTGATTGTCTCCACCATAAGAGGGTTTCCCGGTGACGAAGACTTTTGCTTATCGCTCCCATCGTTCTGGCTCTCTTCCTCAGACAAAAGCGAGGCCGATTCTGGCGTAGAAGCAGACGTCTCCTCCCTTTCTACCTCCTTCACAGGGGGAATCTCTTCTGCAGCCAGACCAGCCATATGTGCTGCTTTGCGAACACGACGAAACAGGCCATTGCGCTTATTTCCTGGGTGAATAAAGGAGAGATCTGATCGTTATCTTGGCAAATACATGGAAGCATGTAGTTCTGCAATCAAGTTACCAGTCCTTCCGAACGTCAACAGTAAATCTGCTTTCAGACTGACAGTGGCTTCAAACAAGAACCCAGCTGGTACATTCTTTGCAGTGCGGCGTAATACGTCAAGTAATTTTCACGCACTACTTCCATTAGAGCTTTAAGGAAGCCTTAAACGTCTAATGGGACAGACTGATAGCAATAGCAATACAATAAATACCGTGAATGGCTAAATCTGTCGAAACCCACCATAAAAGGCCCCCCTTGGCTTCATGTACTGCACAAGAGTCAGTAAAGAAAAAGGACTGTCATTACAAAAATCTTGATTTCAAAGTCCGAACACAATACCTCCTCATGTTTCAAGAAAATATAAAGCATCCATGTAGCTGACCAGCAACAAATAAAGCAGCCGCATGGAAAGAACTAACGGAAGCAAATCCAAATCCTTGAGAGACAACTCAGACTTTTTACATCATTGGAAAAGATTACTATGAACACAAATCCCACTAAAGAGCGAATGATAATTTTTAGGTAGTAGAAGCAGAATATCACCCACCCTGTGACACTCATTAGAAAGAGGTGTCAGAGCCAAATCCACTACCACAGTTCAGATGATTACGTTCTCATCTGACAACATTCATTGTTGTCTTTCCATCGACTCTAATTGAGAATATCGCACGTCTCAACACATCGCCCTGCAACAGGCTTTGCCGAAACAAACACAAACTCATGCAACACACGTCTCACATTTGTGACATGTGAGCCCACATCACGTAATCTGCAAATCATCATTGACATTAACGGCGAGAGGTTAAGCAATATGAAGAAGTACGGTTTGCAAACGGCCAATATGGTAAGCACGCCCCGCAAACAGCCACAGGATGACAGAAACAAGGGAATTCCAAGGTATTATCGCTGTTCACACTTGCTCATTTACTAAAGCAGGATTATAACCATATGGATGACTGAGTAACGTAAGCAAGTGAAGGTCACAAACCAATTCTACTAAAATTTACTACGTTAAATAGGCTTCCGTTTCATTATGATGCAAATGCATCATATTATCTCGGTGAAGTGCGGTACTGTGAATATCAGTGGCTGAGCGCACGGACAGGTAGGCTGGACTTCAATCCACTCTGTATTAAATTCGATTAATCAGTACGACCGCACTCTGCAATGGATCAAAGTGTGAGGAGGTGAGCATGTAAACAAGGTGCGATTGATATTCTGCGAGAAAACAGTAAATCATACTTTGCATAAAGGAAGTGAAGCGCCAAAAATGGCCACAAATTCATCACATAATAATAGAGTTGCGTCCCCTTTTAGAGACAGAAGTCAGATAATGCTAAACAAGGGCAAACGAAGGCGCAATAGCCTGAAATGGGAACAACACAAGCTTACAATATCGGCCGACCAGCCAGCGACAAACCCGACGGTCGGCCTAAGTGGGTGACATAGAAAATGAGCAACAAAAACATCAGCCTTGATAAGACCAATGTTTTTAAGTCGATACTTTTCAATGCAAATAATAATAATAATAAAGTGAAAGCTAGTGAATAACTCACTCGGTTTTTCGTCACTTGACATCGAAGCAACATTAGCATCAGCCGCAACGTCAGGAACCGCTTTCACGATTTGGATCCTACAAATTCCAAGAGGGGGGTTCTTTAGGAAATAGGTGGAAACTAGTTATGTACTGACGCAATCACACCCACCTGCGGTGACCAATCACGAGCATGCGAATCTTTGTGCCCGTATCATCCCACTCAGGTATTTGAACGAATGTTCCAACTCGATAGAGTTCGTCCAAGCTTTTGACCACATCAGAAGTGCTACAGTTTATTATTGAAAATGGGTATGAGAGTTCAATAACAGACTAGCATGAAAACGATGAATATTATGGACAAAACAATAGCCGAACTAACTCGGACGGATTTTTCTTTAGAAACACGCCAGCGTAGGGCAGGTTAAACTTCATCTTGCGGCGAATGAGTTCCATCAATGACTGGTCAGTAATCTCCAACATCTTTACAAATTTGGGAAACAAGGGAGGTCCAGTAATTGAGATGATGGGAACACAGGGAAAGATTTCGGGAACATTCTGAGTGGAAAGTGCAAAAGGGTGCTGCGGGGGCATGCCCGACGAATGGCTGTCAGTTGGACTCGCACCACTATCTGACCCTGAAGGAGCGTCAGGTGGCTTCTCGTTGCTTGTGGAGGAAAAACGATAGCAGAAACCTGCTTTGGCCTACCAAAATAAGCCATAATTAATAAATCAACCTTTTGTCGGAGCGCAAGCTCATATTTCGCTAACCTGTGGGATTTTACGAAGATGAAGAACGGGAAAAGATACATTTGACAAATATCGGCCGTTAAATAATGCTTGATTAAGAGTTGGCCCACGAGCAATCAAAAAAAGTCTTTCAATAGTTAAAGGACGTGTTAATCTAGAGAGCATTCCAAACGACATGGGTAGCCTGAGAACGCGGATTAAAGAATCACAGGCTAGACAACAAGTCTATCCCTTTATGACCTTAGCTCAGCAAAAATACATTTTGAAGTAGTTTGACAATAAAGATTCCGCATAAAAACTCTTTTTAAAAGACGTTTCTAAAACAAAAATTTAAACAAATAAAAACTAACTAGAGATAAAGTCAACTTCAATGGTCACGTAAATAAAACGAGAAACAAACGCTTACAGTTTTTAAAATACTGAAGATTTTGCTGGCAATTTGCTACTTAAATGCAGCAATTTAAAAAGCTGTTTGATGCTTTTTTGATCACAATGCAAAGACTAGTTGGGTTAAAAAGGTAAATTGACCTTCTTCACATTAAATACACTTTTAGGGCGTTTTTGAAATCATGTACTATTTTATGGCTTCCAACCATCTGTTCTCACACGCTATTTACTGAGCGAAATGACCACTACTTTGGCGATTCACCAGCCTGATTATAAGATATGAAAATTGTTTCTAGGCCTTGCAAGATAAGCTCCACTAGACCACCTGCCTCACCTCTGGTAGCAAATAAACAATGACAAATTTAGTGTTTAAGCCTCATGTCAGCCATTTTACTCACATCCGTCTGAGCCGCAGGGAAATGTTGATCACGAAAATATGAAAGTAAGATATTCAATGCGGAATGCAGTCATTGCTTTTCTGTCTTTGCAACAACACAGTAAAATTATGACGGCGAAAGCAGGAAGGGCAGGTTTATTCGCTTTAGCTTTATAAATGGCAAGCTACTGCATTCAAACATTTGTATAAACGTTAGTTTCATTGCTGATTGACAATCATCTGCTCCATCGCCACTTATCACATGTCCTTAATTTTGATCATTTCATCGCTATTTCAGCATAGCTTTAAGTTTAAAACAATCCTGTGAAAATTCCACATGGAGCAGATCTAGAGGTAGATACATGTTTTGTAAACGGCAAAACTCGATAACCGGCAGTGGGGCAGAGAAGGGCGAGGGGGCTACAGGAGGTGGCACAGTCAAATGATGTCTCGTCCGATGTTCACAAGGCCCTGGTCAATCTGACAACTGCTTGATTTGACCACTGCATCAGTCTTGTACAATAAGATAGAATAGATGCTGCACTTTATGCACATCGTGAGATCACCACCACGGGTGCCTTGAAGCCTAGTCTTCAGGGGCAGCACCTCGATAGGTGAACAAACGGAGGAATTGTATCGACGTTAATTGCCTTCATTTAAGGCAGTGCAAGTTTCCTCACCGCATATGAATGGAGACAGTTTAATTTGTCTTTGGACAGCCTTTCAGTGGGCCAATGTGGTGAATTAATAACTTCCAATCTAGGCGTTTCCAAACAGAAACATCATGCGAGGAAGGCATTTTCAGCATTTGCTAGACCATCAGTGATACTATACTCGCTTTGTCGCATAGTGGTCCCCAACACGTGATGAAGTGCGTGTGATTGACCAAGCAATTTGTTAGTAAAGTAGTCTTCTTCCCAAAAAATGCATTTCTCGTGCTATCGAGCTGTCACAATATGCGTCTGTTGTGTTGTTGTCTGCCGACTTCCACGAGACAAGCTTAGGGATTGGGGTGCGCAACATAATACTTGTCCCGTCTACCACCAAGCTAAATGTGGGTAGGGTGGAAATGGAACGGGTCCTTAGCCACATAAGAGATGTCCACCCTGTCAAATTAGATGATCTCCTTCCCAAGTTCATCTTGCAAATTTTTCTCCTTAGCAGTAAGTCATTGCTTCCTCTACTTCAAGCTAATAAATACTGTGCAATCACTTAATCGCTTTCACTCAGCAATCGCCCATTACCCACTTCAAAATCAAACGAGAACGTTCACTTACTCCCAGCTATTTTCTACACATGCAGAAAGTGTTAGTTTAGGTCATTTGTAAGGCATATATGCACAAGCGGTCAAACTGCCTCGTCTTATGACATCACAGTGGAAAGGAGAGTTGCATCAAACATCCGACGTCATCAACTTTATGTGTTCACGTGACCTCACCACCTGACGGAGTCTAGACTTGCGTACTTTGTTGAAGCATCTCCCCACATCACTGGAACCTCATCGGTGATTAAAAGCGCATTTGAAACAAAGGAAAGGAGAATGGCTTGATGTAGCGCTGCGAAGCAGAAGACGCATCATTGAAAAACTTGCTCAGGAGCATAGAAGAGTATGTGATTGGAAAAACATATTGAAAACTCGAATCACTTAATTCAGTCATAATCTACCCTTGCACAAATGTTTTTTCGTACCTAATTCCTGTCGCGTCTAGGTAACTTTACTCCTCATTACATCTGTATCAATGTGAAAAGAACACGAAAATAAATAGTTTTATGTCACTCAGTAAGAGTGTTTCGACATGTTGTCATTGCAAAAATTAAAGGCTTCTCTAGTTCTGAGACTCACCTTACCATTTAGTACAGCATGTGCTGTGGCCACTTGCGGTGGGGTAACATAACCTGCTAAACGAATGTGTTTGACGAGTTGGTTCTGCTTTAAATGCTAATATGCCTCATGGCATTCAAGTAGCTTGATGATAGACTTTATTTCGCTTCCGAAAACCACGAAGATCATGAAAGCTATGCCAGGGCGTCCCGACCGCGTTTGCATATGGTAAAAGCTGTGGAGTTGTCTCAATTTTCTCTAATTATCCTAAGCGCCCAAAATGCATTGCTGGTAAATTATTTGTCCTTCAACTGACTTATAACTGGTGTGGGTCATTCAGTTGGCTTTGGCATGGAAAAGCATAAAAAGACTACTTTGAGCAATCTGCCTGCAACGACTCACAAATTACTTCAAACAATATAAAAAGAGGGGAAAGCAGGATTCAGTTGCCAATCAATTTATTTATAAAGGGAGTTAAAAAGTAATTATGAAGTGTTAGATTGGGACTGAAGTCGAAATGATAGGAGAACTGGAGCAAACAAGGGAAAATATTGTCAACAGGCATGAAAAGCGGCAAATCAACGAAGAAGAGTTTAGAATACATGGCATTCCATGTGGCCCTTGGGTTCTCCTTACATTAACTTGTTCAAGAGCATCAGCATCGACAGCACTGCAAAGACGACTAAAATGGAAACAAACAATGCTACAGCATGGAGGCTGGGTAAGCCGAAACTGAGATTGCCTAACTTATTTTGGCTTTCCTAAGGCACGCCACGTTGTCGGTTTAAACGCTCTAATCAAGGAGTGGTAAAACTCTGGGCAGACTACTGATAAATAGATGAAATGTGGGTAAGGAGAAAATACGAGTGCTTATCTCCCATCCATCAGAGACGTTACCATAATTCAGACGTGATGACTAATTAACAGTGGCTTGACTCCAACAAAATAATCAGTTATCGAAAGCACTCAGTAAACAACAAACCATCACCATCATCCTTGCCGTAAACATCATCACGGCTTCTAGGTGACCTCACCAAATGGATAAACAACTTACGCCTCAAAGTGTAGGCTATTTCACGTCCTGGCAGATGGAAATAAGCAGAGAGATTAGTCGGATGATTACAACATACTAGACGAATAAATTTTGCCGCTTTAAAGAAATGTGTTAGGATGGTGAATGTGACTACACTTTAGAGATGGCTATTTCCATCAGGTCTAATCAGTTACAAATACAGTGGAATGCGCGCTTACCCGAAGATGTTGTGGAAGCTGGTA